ATATATTTTAAATTTGAAAATTGTGTTTGTATTCATCCCCCCCCCCTTCTACAAACTGTTTAGTATTCTTGTAGACCCTTTTGGGACCAACAATTCCCATTTCTCACCTTATTCAACCTGAACATATTTGGAGAAAGTTTAACCTAAGGGTTCAAAAGTACGTGGGATCTTTCATGATCTTGAAGAGGTAAGATTTTGCTGAGTTTTGCAGTATTTAGGGGTTTGGCTATGGATCTAATTTTGGGGTTGCTTCTAGTGCATTTTTAGGTTGGTTGTGAGCTTGATAAAGCTTATAGAGATGGATGTTTGTGAATCTAAAGCCTTCACCAGGAAGCTTAAGGTTGCAGTAAAACTAGATTTAGCCCAAATCTAGCATGGTGAGTTCAAGTTGCTTTGTGAAAATTATGTACATGCCAAAATGTGTATGTTGAAGTAGTAATGAGTTTTACTTGATATTATCAAATGTATGAGTTATTTCGTGAGTTTTGCATATTTGGTATTTTTGATTTTATAAATTTCGTGAGATACCTGTATTTGGGTTTTTGAACACTTTGGTAATAAATCCTGAGAATGCATCATTTTGATGATTTATTTCATAAATGGATATTATTTGACATTAATGTACTTTTGGTGCCTTTGGTTTTATAAAATATTTGGAAAATACACACAATCATGTTATAAAGCATTTTGGAGATATAAATAGTAAGATTCCGTTTGGAAAATATCGGGGAGTTCATGGCATAAACAAAGAAGGATTTGAGTCTGAGAAAGACTTTTTCCCCATTTTCATACGAATAGTGAGACATATCTTTTCGATTGTTAGCTGGAAGAGAAAGCAGACTAGACTGAAAGTAATGATGGGTTTTTGGAGTTAATCATACTTTGGAGCAGGAGTTTGCATAAACATTGGTTAAATACGTTTTTATCGCTTATGATGACTTTTATCTAATAGTCAATTGAGTTGTTGAGTTTTTGGCTCAGTTTTGACTCAGATGAGTCTTGGGGACATTTGTCCGGCTTATAATGCTCTATGTCGAGCCTTTTGAGTTTTATGCACTTACGACATATATATTTGAAATCTTACATATTTTGAGTGTGTTAGCCATTCAATTCATGTCGTGTAATTTAGACTGTAATGTAATAGATCCATAGGCATAAGAGTCAGTTTGATGGTTTGGAATGGGACAATTGTCCATGTTTTCTTGCTAGAAACTCGGACGTAAGGAAGGACTTGAGCTATAGACTGTGGGCGGTTGAACTTGATGATCGTATAACTCATAGCGGGTGACTTGAGCTTTAGATCGTGGATGGTTGAACTCGATGACCGTGCAATTCGTAGTGGCTATTAGTTCCAACAAACAAGCATGACTAGGATCATCTAAGGACCCAAACTACAAATTGTGGGTGATTGAACTTGGTGACCATATGATCCATTGTTGAGGCTCATTAACGTCAATTTGTGGCTTACTTTTATGTTCGTCACATTCGATGGATACGAGTCTCCCCGTCACAGGTGTTATTTTGGATAGTGTATTATCCATGTTTTCAGTGTTGTTTGGGTATTAAGTGTATCCATAATTTATTGTTTTATCTTGGAACGTATTCATGTGTTGGGTGTTTTGGATAATAGAGTTTTATACATGTTTTTAGCATTTGAACATTTAATCTCATTCACGTTTTGAGTCAGTATGGGGCTCTGGTTTTATGAAAAAAGGGGTGTTTTGATAAATGAGTTCTCATCACAAAAATGATGGGTATTGGAAAGGATGTGCTTTTATACTAAATACATTTCATTTTGGAAATTATGATTTAAATAACATCTTTTTAATTTTACCATTTTTTATTTAAGAAGAAAACTATTTGAACTTGCTAGGCATTAAGTTTAACCGTTTTCTTTGTCGCTATGTGCATCAGGTCCTTGAGGAATGATACTAGCGATATTGTGATGAATTGACAGATAGTTAGAGACACGAGAAGGATCTAGCTAATCGGTGAAGTCTTCTAGATTTGGAGATAACGATTGTTATTGAGTTTTTGTAACACCCGACCTTGACCTAGTCCTTATGTAAGGGTTTGGTCTATCTATTGTTGATACTAAATTTAGATTTGCTATCTAAGGTAATTCGACTATTCATTTATAGAAAGGGATTTATCCTTTGCTTAATGTATTATTGGAAATGTTAATTTAGTCATTTTTTTTCCAGATTTGAGGGTGTTATAAAAACCAAACTTGTCGCCTTCAAAAACCAAACTCGAAAACCATATATCTTTAATTATGAACCAAACTCAATATCAAGATTTGCCTTCGAAATAGACTCGAAAAGTAAACTTTGAAAACCAAAATTGAATCTGAAACCAAAAACCATATCTTGACAAGGACCAAAATTGAAAAACAATTTTATTTGGCACTAGACTTGAGAACCAAACTTGAACCTAGAATCGAAAATCAAACATGAATCTTGAAATTTATGGTTGTGATCAGGGGAGGCGGTTATTGATAGAGAGAGGTGGAGAAGACTGAGGGGGGAAACCTATCTAGTCTATCTCGCTCTCTCTCTCTCGATGAACACATAACCCATCTAGGGCACATGACTGGTTTAACGAAGCATGTTTTAACAATGTAAGTGAGATGGACTATATTGGATTGAAAAAACACAAAACATGTACCACCAATGTACTTTATAAATTGTAGGGACGAAAATAAAAAAACAGTCATAGACGAGGGACCAAAAATGTTATTCACTCTTTATTTTTTTTAACGAAAATAAAAGTAAAATGGAAAAAGACTAAAATGTTCATCACTTAACATTTTCTAATGGTGTTGGTGTATGGATCAATTTCAAGCATTTTTGCAAACCACGATAGCTAAGGTATAGTTTTTAAATTGTACAAATCAAAACCAAGGAACATCAAAAAGTACAGGGACCAAAAATGTAGTTTACCCCATAATTTATTTATTGTACATTTTATATAAAGTTTAAATGCAATGTGTTATACCCCTACGACCTCCTATCTACATCTTTACCTATTCACGGTACATTGTAAAAGTCGTTCAAGTATAACAAGGCGTCATCATCCGAAAGATTTGGAATACAAGTGTGAGAGTAGTGAATTCTTCACGTACTTGTTAGATCGTTCCAGATTGCTTAAGTCTTCAAACTCAACTCTCGACCTCACGGATGCTCTTATATATGTATAATCATGTCTTGAAATCGAAAAGGAACCCGTTCCAAATTTGCATAATGCACATACATACCTTTTCTCAATTACCCGTGTAACCTATGCAACCACAAAATCGTAGTGTCTTCAAGTACATAGTTGTGGTGTGAATCTTTGTGGCATTCTCTTCAATCTCCATAGCTTCAAGATATCTCTCGAACTGCTAATCATCGATCACTCTAATTTCTCTAAATTTCATCAAAAGTTGTATGTTTTGGAGCTTATATTCTTGGTGTAGGTGCACTCATGCTTACTTGATTTGCTACAAATCTTTTGCAAACTCTTTAACTTCAAATTGTCACTTCATCCCTAATGATACTTGAAATATCTTCAACTTGGTAGCAGAACTCCATTTTAAAAATATCAAGCACGGTTTTGACATCTTCTTGAACTTATGACTCTTCTGCTTCCAAGACTCCAACTTGTTGATATCATTCCATTCAGTTATCCAAGTGACTTTTCCATATCAACGACTTCAGCATTCATGCATCAACTCATTTGATTGGCCCCAACTTTTTGTTTGAACATTGGTAGTTTCTTGATCAAACTTTTCTCGTCCTCAAGTCTCATTTCAATTATAAGATTCGTCTCCATGTTGTTTGTCATCGTCGCGGACCTTACTTTGATACCACTTGTTGTAGATTTGTCTTCGTAAGCTTGCATATGTGACCCTTTTCGAACTAATGAGTCCCAAACAAGATGAGCAAACAACAATGTTAAAAATGATTGAAACAACTTTTCTTCTATTACTCAAATTCTCGGGTGTTTGTGGAGTTGTTGAGATGAAGCTTCTAACTAACAAGTTTAAAACATGTGTGGATGATTCATAATACGTTTGGATCCACTTTATTTTGCTTGACCCTTTTTGATATTTTTTTAAAGTTTTGCCATTCTTTTGATTGATCTACAATATTACGACTTATCGATAAACTTCTACAGGACGTGATAAAAAGCTCACTTTAACCCGCCAGAAACAAGTTTTTTAAAAAGCTACTTCAAATAGCTTTTGACAAAGTACTAAAAGTTCTCTCATTCATCTCTCATTCGATTGTTAGAACTCTCGGTCTTGCTCTCGATCTCTTAATTTTTTGCTCTTGGTGTAAATCGAACACATTTGTAGAGTCATTTAATTATATTGGATTTTAAATATATTAGATTTTAAACTTTCATACAATCTTTTTCATCGATAGACTATAATTGTAACCATAACTCTTATTTATTCAGATTGTATTAATATGTAAAGACCAAGTGTAACTTGTATCATCGTTAAATTTTCTCTAATAAAACCAGTGAAACTTCAAAATCGTTAAAATTCACGGCTTCCGCCACATTGATCGTGTACACAATTGGAGCTTTTTATATTGAAAAATATAAAATCAGAAATTAATTATTTATTGGGTTTCAAATTAAAGACGGTACAACACACTATGCCAGGATTCAAAAAGTTTCAATCTTCACTTTGATTTTCCCGCTCACGCTTTCAAATTTCAAAACCCTCACAAACTTATTATTTATCGTTGATTACACCACCACCCACAGCCGCTGAACCCCCCCATTTCTCCTCATCTCGATCCTCACTTCATCCTCTACAGACACCATCTCTGTGTCTCTGGAACAACCATGGCGACAGAGCAACGCCAGCCACTGCAATCAAGCACCACCGATAACATCCCACCGACCACTAAAGTTGCCAGCAAAAGAGGTAGGACCATCGAAGAAACTTTTCAGAAGAAGACTCAGCTCGAGCATATTCTTCTCCGGCCGGATACTTACATCGGATCCATTGAAAAGCATGAACAAACACTTTGGGTATGGGAAGGAGATCAAATGGTGAAAAGACCAATATCGTACGTCCCTGGTCTCTACAAGATCTTTGATGAGATTCTTGTGAATGCCGCTGACAACAAGCAGCGAGATCCTAAAATGGACTCTGTGAAGGTCACTATTGATGTCGACAAGAATTTAATCAGTGTGTATAATAATGGAGATGGAATACCCGTAGAAATTCACAAGGAGGAACAGATCTATGTTCCTGAGTTGATTTTTGGGCATTTGCTGACTAGTAGTAATTACGATGATTCTATTAAAAAAACTACTGGTGGGAGAAATGGTTATGGTGCGAAGCTTGCCAACATCTTCTCCACCGAGTTTACAATCGAGACTGCAGATGGGAAGCGTAACAGAAGATATAAGCAGGTATAACTTCAATGATACAGCGTATTTGTGAAGATTTAGGGTTCTTATAAATTTGAATCTAGTACTTTGAGATTTCTTGATTTCTTATTGTTCTTGGTCTGCTTTAGGTAAAATGTCTCATTTTGTTTGTGAATTAGGTTTTAGGAATCATAGGCGTTATGTTATAGATTGTGGATTTCACTGATTCTTGTCTTCAAAAGATAGATTTGGGATTAAAAATCTCAGATAGAAGACTAAAATTTGGAATAATTAGGGCCTTAACAGTTTCTTATAACGTATTTGTTTTCTTAAGAAATAGTATTTGATTGAAGTCGACTTTTACTGATTTTCTATGCTCTTATTCTTTGTGGTTTTCTGACTTAGGGTTTATAATTTGACATGTATCACTGATCAGGTTATTTTATCATGAACTGGATTCCTAATTATTTTTTGAACCCCAAACTGAATGTTTTCTTATTATCTGAAGTTTTGATTAACCCGCTATGTGAGCCGACTAATCCTAGGGCGACCACCTGCTTTACAGATAGCCCGGAGTCACCACATTTGAACCTCCGTGGCCACAAGGGGATTTTTATTCCTCCTTGGTTTGAACCTGGGACCTTCTGGTACTTTTGACCTTTGGAGCCAAGCTCAAACCAATCAGGCACCACCCTTGTGCTTTACAGATAGATTTATCATTTATGGTTTGTGATTCTTCAGCTTGCTTACCATGATTTGTTTGGAGTTATCTTTATGTTGGTATTGCTGCTGATTTGTAGCATTTGGTTGTGCTTTAGGTGTTCTCAAACAACATGGGGAATAAATCTGAGCCAACCATAACAAAGTGCAAGTCTGGTGAAAATTGGACCATGGTCTCATTTAAGCCTGATTTATCCAAATTTGGCATGGAATGCCTTGAAGATGATGTAGTCGCTTTGATGAAGAAGCGGGTAGTTGATTTAGCAGGCTGCCTTGGAAAGAGTGTGAAAGTTGAACTAGATGGAAAACGTGTTCCTCCTAAAACATTCGAAGACTATGTGAAGCTTTATCTCCCATCATCTGCCGACACCTTAAGGTTCTTTTTTCGACACCTATATTTGATTCCAAGCCATTCTTTATAAAAAGTGTTACTTTGATGCTCATTTAATCTGTCATTTTATAGGCTATATGAGAAAGTAAATGAAAGATGGGAGATATGTGTTAGTATGGCTGATGGACATTTTGAACAGGTATGAATTCTTTGAGATTATTTAGTTTGCTAGGTACCACAACAGCTTAATACCAACTTATTTTACTTCATTTTTATATATCAGGTCAGCTTTGTGAACAATATTGCCACAATCAAGGGAGGGACTCATGTTGACTACATAACCAATCAGATTGCCAATCACTTGGTAGCTGTTGTAAAGAAACAGAACAAACATGCTACTCTCAAAGCCCACAATGTAAAGAATTATCTATGGGTATTTGTCAATGCACTCATTGACAATCCTGCTTTTGATTCACAAACAAAGGAGACTTTGACGATTAAACAAAGTAGTTTTGGGTCAACATGTGAACTCACACCGGACTTCTTAAAGAAAGGTATGCATTCATTTTCATTGCAGAATCAGGAAATTATGCTTTTATTTTGTCAAAGTCGCCTTAATCTATTTTGTTATTCATTTTGCAGTGGCCAAATCTGATGTGGTGAAAAGAGTCGTCTCTTGGGTACAGTTTAAACAGCAGAATGACCTCAAGAAAACCGATGGTAACAAGAGGGGAAAGCTCAACATTCCTAAACTTGAAGAGGCTAATTATGCGGCTACAAGTAATTCCGATAACTGTACCTTGATACTGACGGAAGGAGATTCAGCCAAAGCTCTTGCAGTAAGTTGGTCTTGTTCTTCAATAAGCATCCACCTGCAAGCATGATCACTTTCAAGTGTATGTTTGTTCGGAAAAAGAAAGACATTGTATAATATGAATGCAATTTGTCATACAGATGTCTGGATTATCTGTCGTGGGCCAAGATTTCTATGGTGTGTTTCCATTGAGGGGTAAACTGCTGAATGTGAGGGAAGCAAGCCCTAAACAGTTACAGGAGAATGCTGAAATTCAGAACATTAAGAAGATTCTTGGGCTTCAGCAGGCTAAAGTTTACGAAAATGTGAAGTCCTTGAGATATGGGCATTTGATGATAATGGCTGATCAGGTGATGTAACCAAAAAAATCCTTTCATTTTGATGTAAATGATATCTAGTATTGCTATGTCATTCTGCTGATACACCATAATTTGTGGTTATGTAGGATCATGATGGTTCACACATCAAAGGGTTGTTGATTAACTTCCTTCACACATTTTGGCCGTCTTTACTAAAAGTTCCGAACTTTGTGCTTGAGTTCATCACGCCAATTGTTAAGGCTACTAACAAGAGGACTAAGAATGTGTTATCGTTCTATACAATGCCCGAGTATGAGGGTTGGAAGGAAAATCTGGGGCACAGGGCAAGAGAATACAAAATAAAGTACTATAAGGTTTGTTTATGAATAACCAGTTATCCTAATTTTTCGCTATTTGCAACTAAAATTTTCACTACTTTACAGGGGCTGGGAACAAGTAATGGTAAAGAAGGGGCGGAATACTTTGCTGATCTTGACAAGCATAAGAAGGATTTTGTTTGGGCTGATGATGAGGATGGTGAGGCAATAGAGCTGGCATTTAGTAAGAAGAAAATTGAGGCCAGGAAGACCTGGCTCCGGGCACTTCAGGTTTGTTTATTTGCAGCTTTTGTCAATCTAGCAGCCAATGGAGCTAAGATGAGCATTTCTTTATGATCGTTTGTGTCATTTTGTTATGCAGGCCGGTACTTATTTTGATTCGAAGGAGAAACATATCCCATATCGTGACTTCATCAACAAGGAGCTTATTCTATTTTCAATGGCTGATCTTCAAAGATCTATACCATCAATGGTAGATGGATTGAAACCAGGGCAGAGAAAGATTTTATTCTGTGCCTTCAAGAAGCCCATTTTCCAGGAAGTAAAAGTTGCTCAATTTAGTGGCTATGTATCTGAGCATTCTGCTTATCATCATGGGGAGCAAAGTCTTGTAAGTACGATCATTGGCATGGCTCAAAATTATGTGGGCAGCAATAATATCAACCTTCTTTACCCAAGTGGGCAATTTGGCACCCGTCAGATGGTGAGATATACATACATGTATATACACATTTGTAGTTTCTTACTTCTGTTTTGTACTTGCTAAACTTTCGAAGTACTTTTTCACAGGGTGGCAAAGATCATGCAAGTGGCAGATATATCTACACTAAGCTTTCTCCTATCACTCGACATCTTTTTCAAAAGTCAGATGAACTTCTCCTAGACTACTTGAATGAAGATGGGCAATCCATTGAGCCTACCTGGTAATATCCAAATTTCGTGTGGGTGTTAAATATGATATTGTGTGGTTGTGTTTGTTTTTGCATTTGTTAGTTTTCTTAAACAAATTGTTTAAACAGGTTCATGCCTATAATTCCAATGGCTCTGGTGAATGGAAGTGAAGGGATAGGCACTGGGTGGAGTACATTTGTACCAAATTACAATCCAAGGGATATCATCGCTAACCTCAAGCGCCTATTGAACAATGAACCATTGGTGCCAATGGATCCATGGTATAAATGGTTCAAGGGAACCATTCTGAAAATGACATCAAAGGACACTGGATATACAACTACAGGAATTGTAGAGGAAAAAGAGGATGAACCAAATAAGCTTATTATCTCTGAGCTGCCAATAAGGAAATGGACTCAAGAATATAAGGAATTTTTGGAGGCAGCTTCATTGTCAGGGAAGGACAAGGAACCATTCATTGAGGTAGTATATTAACGAGTTAAATTCTTAAAATTACATATTGCACATTTAGTGATGATTTGAAGTCTTATTGGGAAGCTTGTATTTTGCAGGAATATATGGCTCATAATGATGATACGACTGTAAATTTTGAAGTTATCATGTCTGCAGAACAAATGAACAATGCAAGGCAGGAGGGGTTTCTGAAAAAGTTTAAGCTAACGAGCAATTTAAACACAAGTAACATGCATCTTTTTGATGCAAACGGTGTAATAAAGAAGTATGACACCCCTGAACAAAGTAAGTATGAGTGACAAAATGCTATCCAATACGACAATCCATATACGAATCATTTGATCTTTAACTTTTTTTCTTCTGTTTATTGCGTTTACAGTCCTTGAGGAGTTCTTTCACCTTCGTCTCAAATATTATGAGAAAAGAAAGGCAAGTTTTATAACTATATAAACTAATATTTACTCTATAATGATTGAAGATACAGGCAAGTTTTATAATTATATAAACTAATATTTACTCTATAATGATTGAAGATACCTCTGACATTACTTGTGAATAAAAATTCTTTTTGTGCCCCAAAAATGGAGTCTTATGTTTTCAATGTTGCATCGACTAAATTGTGGTTATATGGATTACAGACAGCTCTGCTTCACGAGCTTCGGAAGGCTTTATTGCAGCTGGAAAACAAAGTCAGGTTTATTCTTGAGGTTATGGCAGGAACAATCATTCTGAACAACAGAGTGATAGAAGACCTGTATGCCGAGTTGAAAGATAAAGGCTATACGCCTTTACCAAAGGAAGCTGTGTTAGAAGCATCGATTGCAGGAGCGGTTGATCATGTTGAAGGAAGTGAGGAAACCGATGAGGCTACAGAGGAGGAAACGTCTGAGGTGGTGATTGAGGAAAAATATCAAGCTACTGCCAGCAAGACGATTCCCGGAACAGAATATGATTACTTGCTGTCTATGGAACTTCGAACCCTTACCCTTAAGAAGAAAAATCAGCTATGTGCTGAAAGGGATACGAAAAAAGCAATATTTGATGAGCTCACAGGCACTCCTTCGAGGTCTCTATGGTTGCGAGATCTTGATGCTCTTGAGAAACAACTTGATGTACGCTTTTGTATTTTTGTTTTTTGTGAAAAGATTATTTTTTCATTTTGGGATTCTTCAAATCTTGAACTTTTTTGTGTGTAATCAGGAACAAGACAAGAGAGATGCGAAAGATGAAGCAGAGAGAAGGAGACAACAAGAAAAGGCAGCGAAGGCTGGTGGTGGTAGGAATGTTAGGAAGCCTGCCAGAAAGGCAGTTACCAAGAAGGCAACCATCACAGCGGCAGTTGCTGAACCCATGGAAACTTCCGTTAGTTCTGCAATGGAAACAGGTATGTCCTAGAATCAAGTCAATCAATAAAGCCTTTTTCTCTGGTTACATTTTATGTAGTATAATTCTTGTTTTGATGGTCTCAGGCAATGCTCCTGCTGTCGCAAAACCAAGAGGTCGAGCAGCAGGTTCAAAGAAACCTCCGGCCAAGAATAAGGTAGGAATTCACAAATCATTGAGTTTGTTGTAATGTAGTTTGTTAGTAGTGAATTAAAGGTTTAATCTATTGTGAGCAGGCGAAACCTACTTTGATAGACGAAGATGACGATGAGGAAATTCCTTCGCTGGCAGATCGACTTGGGAAACATAATATACAATCTGAGCAGGAAGATGATGTGATTGTTGAATTGGAAGATCAATTAGCAAGACATAATATTGAATCCTCTCCTGATCAATCAGAAGGTAATAACCATCTGAAATCTTTGTATTTTTGAAGAAGAAAAATAAGGTATGTGAAGTTTCTAATTGATTATTAAACCAAAATGGCAGTAGTTGTTCCAAACAAGAAAGGACCAACTAAAAGAGGTGCTGCAAAGAAGGCTACCATCACTGAGATTTCTGATGATGAAGATGAAATGGTGATGGAAGATGGTTCTGACTTTGAAGTCCTGAGTGAAGCACCGGTGGAGAAAAAGAAGCGTGGTGGAGGCCGAAAAGTGGTGGCAGCAACCAAACCTCCAACTGGAGCTACCAAGAAAAGAGGACCAGCTGCTAAGAAATCCCAACAAACCGTTCCTGATGGACAAAGACTGATTACAGAAGCGTTAAAGCCAGCAGCATCACCGGAAAAGAAGGTGAGGAAGATGAGACCTTCACCGTTTAACAAGAAAAGCGGGTCTATGTTGGGAAGGTTGAGTAGTAGTGAAGAGGAGATGGTGGCAGAAACAAGCGGTGAAGTGGCGGCACCACCACCGAATGCTAGACCCCAGAGGGTAAACAGAAGGAAGACAACATATGTGGTGAGTGATTCTGATGAGAGTGAGGAAGATAAACCATCTGAGGATTCTGAATTTGATGATGATGACGATGAAGATGAAGAGTAAGGGAATTCAATACATGCTTGTTCTGTTGGACAATGTTGTTTGGTTAATGTCATTGGTAAGTACAAGTTTTTAGGTGATGATTTCGTAGATCCATTGCTTTTGGACTAGTCCATGTTTGTTTTGATTAGTAATCATAGCTAATGATTCTCTAAATTATTGGATTTCCATTTATCAAACACCTGGTGGGCAACATTACAAAGCATCAAGCCATCAACTATACACTATATAATAATTGATTTCTTTCCAAAATTCTTCCAAACTTCCGGACTATTTGCAAAGTAGATGGTGACCTAGGATTAGTGGACTCTTATGACGGGTTGGATATCCAGGTTAATAAAAAAAACTTCACCTGGTTCGATCCGGAGGAATCCACAAGAGTTCTTTGCTACGATCTTTACTATTTTTGATTGAGAAAAAGAGTTTCTAAATAAGAATTAAGTTTTCATTTATCCAAACGCTTATCCGGTAAAAGTAAACACTATTACTTGTACCGGGTAAAATTCTAATCTATTAAAACGGCATTGTATGTGATAGTTTATCTAGTCAACACTAATTGAGTAAATGTACTTCATTTACCGGATAAAACTCTGGATTTTTATTATCACTCTTAACGGATAAGATTCTTGAGCATCTCCATTCGAAAGTTATAATGATTTTTACTATTCCAATAAGGTATTGAAATAGCTTTTATGAAAATGTAGACTTCTACAACAGGTTTTGCTATCATATTAATAATTTAATACAAAAAAGCATGCAAGAGAGGGTTTTTAAAGATGGAATTTTGTTGGATAAAATTAGTTGAAAGCTGATGTGACAAATGTAAAAAGTATTTGAATGAGTTATGCATTGTGGATGCTTTAACAAGATTGTAAATATTTACCATATAAACGTTTAATAAATAACACCAAGACTAAGTTGAACTTTGTTTCATTTTTAATGCATATTTTCTTAATTTTAAAAACCATAGTATTTTCTATTTTAATCCAATTATTTCATAAAAAAAATGTTGAATGAATTATGACACCAATCAAAGTCAGACAAGAAGTCCGGACATAGGGTTGGTAAACCCTCTTATCCATTTCTTCACTCCAAAACATGAGGTGTCAAAAGGCTTCCACTTTCCTAAGATATTTTGCTTCCATGATTAACATGGTCCATGAAACCCATTGCTTTATCCTCTTTTTCTTCTTAAAAAAAAACACAAATCAAACACCCATCTCAACACTTGAAAATGATCAAACCAAACCATCAAATGCTCAAAAGCTTCAAACTTTAACCATTTGACACCAAAACCATATGGCTTCCTTCTCAATTAGCCCTTCATTCCACACCAGAACATCAAAGACCACAATTCAAGATTTGATCAACCCCATGAACCACCAAACCCGACCCACCTTTGTGGCTTGCGGAACCCGGGTTCCATTTGATCCACAAACGGATAAAGAGAAGGAAGGTAACGAAAAGAAGCCAAGTTTGATGGAGGTTTTTGTGGGTGTCGAGAAGCTTGGGAAAGGGATCCAAGATTTCTTGAGTCCAAAACGCAAAGGGGATTGGAAGGATTTGGTACTCATGAGTCTATCATTTGCGGTTTATGTTTATATATCTCAAAAGATTGTTTGTGCTTATTGTGAATGGATGTCCATGTTTAAGCATCATTGGTAGTTTAATTTAGGAAGAAAGTACAACTTTTAATGCATAAAACACAAGTGTTTGGTTCAGAAGATCATTTGGTGGTTTTATAGTATTTTGTATATTTGCATCATGGAAAAATTGAAGTTATTAAAGTAATTATAGTGTTTTATTTGTAATTATTTTTATTAAAGGGCCGTTTACCTAAATGCTTACCTGGTAAGCGCTTACCTTTAAGAGTCAACACTATAATTTATTTTATCGGATAAGATTGTAGTACATCAAAACGTATCATATACAACAATTTACCTGGTAAGCGCTTATGTAAGAGTCGTCACCCTCACTTACAGGGTAAGAGACCCTCTATCCTTATCATCGTTCTTACTAGGTAAGATTCTTGGCCTTTGCCATGTTCATCCGGTGAGGAAAATTGCTCGGTGAACACTTATCGAGTAAGCGTTTAATAAACGGCCCCTAAGTTTAACAATGCTTGTAAAATAGAATCATTGGGTACTTTATTCTAACCTAAAATATTTCAAGAATTATTTCTGATTCCTCACATTAAATTTGACAGAATTCTTTAAATTTGAAATAAACTATCATTTCATCTGGTTTAAAGAACAACATAAAAGATCTGTTGAGTAAAATAATGAACAAATATTCATTTTTTCTTTTTATTTTTTAAAAATTGTTAGAGATGCTCATAGTAAATCAATGAACCCTCCAAATATGAGTTATTCATTTGATAACTACAATGGTATGTTTGATTCGTAGGATTTGAAATAACATTGGATTCCATTACTTATAAATAATTTATAAAATAATTATAAAAATAATAAAATTACATTTTTATTAATTGATTATTACAAACCAAATGTTTTTAACATTTTTTAAAGCCTTATTTCATACAATCTAACGAAATCCCGAGCACCCCTAAAGATTTCAAAATCTTGTGTTTGTAGGATTTCAAATTCAGACAATCCAACAAACCAAAAATGAGATTGGAATGAATTTGAAATCCAAATCCTCAAATCCATTCCATTCCTGCAAAGTCGTTCACACCGATTTGTTACGAAATACTTCATAATATCTTATAATTTGAACAGAACACCCATAATTAATCTACACGAAGGTAGTAGTAGGCTTGAATATCTAAAGTCAAAAGTTTAGAAGAACAGACGATAATAATACAACAGTATCCTCAAGAACCATGTACAAGTTCTAAATTTTGCATTCAATTCAAACCCATAAACTTAATCATCATCTGAAACTGTTATCATCTTCACCCTTCCATTTTCAATCAGTTTTCAGCCTTTCACGCCTGAAAAGACGGTGGAATAACGAGAGCAGCCATTGCCAAACAAAAACCAACCAGCTTGAACCAGTCTTCGTGTGTTTGGGCTCGGGTCTTGGTCCGAACAATCCTTTGTAAAGCTCCTTTTGTTTCTGATAAACCATCTTGTCATCTTCGGCTAGCACCCGTAGTTCCTTCAATATCGCTTTGTCTTCTGGGGCTAATTTACGAGCTTTCAAGAAGTCTTCTCGGGCAGCATCCGTCTGTCCGAGTTCAGATTTAGCTTTCCCTCGTCTAAACAGCGCTTTCACGTTATTTTGATCCTCTGCAAGTACCTAGAAAATATATTGAGGGTTTAATTTGGAAATTATACATAAATGGTTTTGCCAAACGTCTAAGGGGTTGTTTGTTTACCTCTTAATAGTTCCCTTAGGGGTTGTTTGTTTACCTCTTAATAGTTCCATTAAGAGGCAACCTTTAAGAGGTGAATCTTGTTTTGCAAAAAAAATGTCTGCCTCTTAATGGTTCTAAAACCCTCTGAATGATTTTGTATCCTGGATCTCCCTTAACCATTAAGAGCCCTAATTTCATTGTACACAATTACCAAACAATTATATTTCATTTTGCACTATGTCATAAGAGCCTTTTAATCATTTTGACCACTTAATCATTCTGCACCAAACCATTCAGCAATTGCCAAACAGCACCTAAAAGCTTTCTTTTACTTTCTTCCCAAATTTGAGAACACAGTGTAAACCTTAAACCCTAAAGGTAAAAATAAAAAAGCTGAAGAATGGACGAACATAATCAACGAATGGGATACATACAATGGTGCATTGAGCAATGGCGTCTTCATAGCGTTTGAGCTTTATCAAACAAGCTGCAATGTTAAGGTGACACGGGTTTTTGACTGCCAAAGCCATGTCCTGATACTTGCCGAACAATTGAAACATGAAATCATCACCCATATATGCGATGGCCTATTATGTCCACGGAAGAATCAACACGAACATGTGAGAACAGAATTCGCAATTTTTTTTCAGAAATTAGGAAAAGAAATTTCAGAAATTTTTAAGGAATATTCAGTTTCACCATTTCATACTGTTGCATAGCCTCCTCTAGTTTTTCTTCTTTAAACAACGCATTTCCGTCCATCCTTCTCCTATCTGCTGTGCTGATTCTCTCTTCTACTGTCATGTCACCACGAGCTTTCCCCTATACAAACATTTGTATTTATCAGCCACCTCAATCATCAGCGGATCTACGGATTTCAGACTGAATAATCCTCTTTAAAAAGTAATCTAAACCAAACCGAACAAAAAAACCCCGTATATCCCACCCGGAGGTAGAGTGAGGGCAAGATGTAAGCTGACCTTACCTTGACTTTCTTTACAAAATACTGTGCATATGCTCAGATCATTAGGGAGCGAAACTAGGTTAGCGATGGAAGGAGACCATCACTTTGTCGCATTAGAGAGTTCAAATTCTTTTCGTTCCCATTAAAATGGCAACTTTAACCCCATAATGATTTCAAATTGCTAAAATTTCATATAAGATCTAATGGGTAGTCGATTTCCTCTTGGTGCATAGGTCACCCATATTGTAATAGAGATCTGACACTGCACTCGAAGGGTGAAACTCAAAAGTCCAGAAACTAGGCATCTTGTTTTTTAACTCGTGAACATTGTATTAGTGAGTGATAGAAAATAAACTATTTACTGAATACTCACTTCTTTGGTTTCATCAAAACCAACTAGCTCAACTTCATAGATGATATCTGCCTTAGGTGGGACATTTGGAAAAGAAAAGCTTCCTTCTTCACCATAGCCCAGTTCCCAACCCACGTGTAAGAGAGCACGCTCGCCGGATTTCATGGAGGATAGACCAATTGCCAATCCTGCCATTTCTTTTTTCTCTGGTACAAAAGAACAGGGTCAAGAAAAGTCAACGGATCTTCCATGACTGTAAGTGATCTTGAGTAAACCAAGTGATAGACTTTCTTAATCATCATACTTAGCTTTTCACCACAAATTACTCATTGCTCTTGTGATAATAATTGAAATGTAAATGCCAAAAAGAAAAGGAAAAAAAATCATACTTCCTCCATCCCAAATTTATGAAAAAAGCAGAGAGTTTTAGAAATGTGTGATTATTACACTTTTTAACTAACTAAATGACAATTTTACCCTTGGTAATAGAGAGAGTAATGAATTTCTCTATGCATAGTTGATGGTAGAATCCGAAAGTAGGCACTTACAAAAGTGGACACTTATTCTGGGACAGAGGGAGTAGTTACTATTTGTGTGCAAAATCGACTATTCTTGCAAAGCATAATGTTCTCTTTGCAATTCCAAGAACGATGGATTGTATGAAATGAAAAGTCAAGTATGAATGTTTAACAAGTCAACCTCACTTGTTGATGCAAGTATTAGTGCAGAAAAAATACCACCATGAAGGTAGATTAAATCAGGTTAATCTTACATTATTTAGATTAAGATGTAAGAACTTTTTACGTATAAATACCTTTCCCTAAGACCACTTCAATAAGTTGTAGCTCCTGCCAAGTGTCTTCAAACTTGTGCTGGGTACTTTCGGTCCATGCTTTGTAGTGCACTACAACAATAAACGCGGTTATGCTGGTGTTGTCTCCAAGTGATCAAGTAAGTTTTGGACCTAATAAACTGTCGTTGTCCAGGAAAAAAGAAGTTGCAGAGTAGTGCCATGATTTGAAACACCATGCGACATAGTTCATATAATTTCACAAATAAACCAAACCAAACTAACTCAGTAAATCCCAGCAGAGGTAGGGTCTTTTTATTTGTTGGGGGTATGTAGATCTTACCTCTATCTAGGGGTGTAAGCGAGTCGAGCTTTTAACGAGCTACTCGGACTCGAGCTTAATAATTCTCGACCTTACCTCNCAAGTGATCAAGTAAGTTTTGGACCTAATAAACTGTCGTTGTCCAGGAAAAAAGAAGTTGCAGAGTAGTGCCATGATTTGAAACACCATGCGACAGATTTGAAATAATTGCCCAATTAAACCAAACCAAAAAAACTCAGTATATCCCACTCGAAAGCGGGGCTTGGGAGGGGGATGATGTATGTAGATCTTACCTCTATCTAGGGGTGTAAGCGAGTCGAGCTTTTAACGAGCTACTCGGACTCGAGCTTAATAATTCTCGACCTTACCTCGATCTCGAACACAAAATAAAACTCGTTTAACTTAACGAGTCGAGCTTCATAACACCAATGTTCGACTCGGGTCGCTCGAAAACTTGATAAACTTTTCGAGTCGAGCTCGAGCCGAGCCATTCGAGCAAATATTTTTTTGAGCCAAACATGTTCATATGCTCGTAAATCATACAATAAAAATATAAAAATTATCAACCTCAAGCCTATAAACGAGCATTGAGCTCGATAATTCAAAAAATATTCGAGCTCAAGCCCTAAATTGGAAAAGTTATTCGAGCTCGAGCATGGTATTTTTTTTTCGAGCCTTATTCGAATAACCGACTACTCGCTTTGGCTCGTTTACACCCCTACCTCTACCCCAAGGGCTAGAGAGGCTGTTTTCGTGAAAACCCCTAGCTAAACCAAAAAATGCATCAGGGATGGATGTGAGAGAAATAGGTTAAGCAAACAAGAAAATAGTGTATACTTGTTTTAAGAATAAATTTTTATCCATGTAGAACTTCAACCTATGCTTTTATCTTCAAAAGTCCGGGGTGGAGTGGATCATATCTTTTTTTTGGAAGGGTGTCCCGAGCTATGCCCAGACTAATCCCGGCAAATTGCGACGGTAAGACATCAGCCCTCATAAACTTAGTGGCCACAATTGTTGTGAACACCTGGAATTGAACCCAGGGTAGATGGGTCCACCACATCCCCTTGGGCCTCAACCACTACGCCACAACCCCTTATGGTTGAGTGGATCATATCTTTGTAGAACTTCAATTGATACTTGCATTTTGCAAAAGAAGTTGCAGTTTGTCTTTCTACCTTTGGGATAGAGGCAAGGTCCGCACACATCCTACCCACCTCTGTGTGGGATATAGTGGGTCCGTTTGGTTCACTTTGGCTATTTTGCTAAAAGGTTGTTTCTACAACTCGATCTTGTGACTTTTCGCTAAAGAAGAAGTATATTCAACAGTTTCTTCAGGGCTCATCACTTCATATGAATGTACATTCACATTATGGCTCTGATACAACATAAGGAAGACCAAGGCCTCCTGGCTTATTTATTGGCTTTCAAAGCAAATCCAACAGTCTACAGCTTTACAAATCAATTTGTACTATGATAATACCACCTAATGAACTCAACCTTATGTATCTTACTTCCTATTTCTCACAAATGAAAAAATAAAAATAAAATAATGTTTTTAATAAGAAAAAGGGCCATGCATATGCAAATCTTGCATAGACTTACGGAAGCACGTCGAATATTTTGATGGCTTGTCACCATGACCTTCCTTAATGATCTGCTTTGTAACTTTTTCATGGAGGGATTCCACTGCCGTATCAACTTTAGGAGGTAGGTTATCATCTTGAGAAGGCCCTCCATGCACAAAAGAAGATCCTTCGGTCACAATTTCCTCTTTAGCATCTGGACCTGCATACATACCAGCTTAATTACACTACATTTGGGTTTCATACCAAAGCCTACAATACACCATCAGTCCATCACTTTAGAATCAAGTAGTTGGAGAACACTACCGTCTTGAGGAGGTTCTCCATTTGTCACAGAAGAACCTTCAGGTATGCTTTCAATTTCGCCATCTTGACCTGCAAATTATACAATAGTCAACCATATGACTCCATGGTCAATGCTCAAGAATTGAGTCAACAAATTTTACAGAAGTACCAAAACTTACAACCAATTCCTGATATTAAAAGATTAAGATGCCGACATTGTACAATACACGATACTCCGGCATATTGGCTTACAAAGTGTGCTATCTATGTGGGTGATTCCAAGCTCCAAAACTACCCGTCTACCCTTTCATCAATATTCTTTGCATCATACCTCATAAGTTATAAAAGTTCTCTGCATACCCAAAGTCGGATTCTCACTGAAATAATAAACTTACAAATCAAAACCTCTTAAGACATACAAAAATGACCCTTAAATGTGTAATCACCTAAGAAGAAATGACTAGCAATAGGTCTCTCGTACATTAACTCCTCATCCAACATCCTTTATGGTCCCTTACTAGAAAGAGCAACGGTAGGAAGACAACATAAGGCTTCATATAAAACTTTACTTCATATCAAACCAAAAACCTGCCTATATATCCTTATCGAGCATATGTCCAATATAAAGAAGGCCATGCGTCCACCTTTGTTGCCTGCATTTTCATTATTCATGCATGATATTCATCATGAGTAGTTGGTTCTCACGGTTCTCAAAATATTATGCTTCTCAAAATAACCTGCCACTGCTCACCTATTATCATCAACAAAAAGCATACAAGAACCTTTGACTTGACTCGAACAGATAACTGGACACACAAAACAATTTTTGCTCTTAATGTCATCTTTGTAGACACATTAGCACCCTTCAAGTACATGTGTATCACATGACATGTATATCTGTTTCAAGAAAACAAATCCTTAGAGGGGCGTTTGTTTGCAGGATTTGGTGGGAAATGGAATTGGATTCCATTCCAATCCTGTGCTTGGTTTAAAGGAAACGAAACCCCACAAACATGGCATTTAGAAATCCATTGGAGGTAGTTGGTATTTCGCGGGATATCATAAGATTTATTTGTGATAATGTTCTAAAATATGTTAAAAACACTCGTGTTGTAATAATCGATCAATAAAAAGGTAATTTAATTATTTGTATAATTCGTTTTTATAAACTATTTATGAAAAATGAAATTCAATTCCATTCCAAATCCATCCACGGAATCCAAATCCCTCAAAAACATTCCGTCAAACCAAATGGACCCTAAGACTTTCCTACTCAACCCTATGTGGTAGCATCATCCTTTGGATTCATGTGACACATATTCTAGTTATTACCATGTGAATTATATATGGCCAATAACAGGAACTTACCTCGAAGCTGGGAGTCACAGGGTTGACTCTACATCTTATTACTTTTCAATACAACTTCCTTGATCAAGTTTAATGTTTATTGAACATAGAATCTCCTGAAAAATCCAGCAAATACTTGATACCTTACTCAACTCGGTAATCAAACCTAACCCCTCAAGATTATGGTGACCAGCTGTACAATAATCTCCGATCCACCTCTAACTCTATGTACTAAAACTAATTGGAGAATAGTTAGCTGCATTCAAAAAAGCATACTATGTATACATAATTGTCATCAAACAATAAACAAATCTTGTGTCTGATTTAGCATTGTGGGGTCAACACAACAAAAATTATCAAATTAGGATCCTTTCTCCACAAAGGAAAAAGTGACTTTAATGGCTTACCAACTGTTTGAATCGGATGATGTTGCACTTCCTCCATTCCCAAGATCACCTCAAAAACTTGTTTATATTCGTCAACAAACTTCAATCAGCTAAAACGATCCTCAATATTGAACTGTAACGAATTCCTAATCAAATTATACAATATGTAAAATAACAAATAGCGAAAATTTAGATTCACAATCACAATTAGAATCTACTGCAGAAGGGAAATCGATCCCCTTCTTCCATAATTTAAGAACATGTATACTAAAGCGATCTTTTCAAAATTTAAAAACAAAATGTCCGATTTCCTTCATTTTCCTAGATTACAGGAGCATAGACGAGAATCAAGAATTGAAATGGAGTTCAATTTTAGTGCGATTGAACTGAAATCTTGCCTTCGTTTGAATTATCACTTCTGGGGTTTATACCACTGGCTTACTTGAAGTAATCGAAGACGATTCGAGAGAGAGAGAGAGAGAGAGAGAGAGAGACAGAAGGGTTTTGACCAATTTAGCAAAAAAAATGGGGGTTTGAAGTCGTTTATGCTGCGGCCTGCACATCTCGACTCTTGTCTGGCGAAACTTTGTGCCATTTGACATTTTGGGCACTATTGTTTGAGAATTTCTAATTAGGTCCCTTAAAAAGTTAAAAATGCTATTTCCATACGGATCAAACAATAGATGGCCAAAAATCGATTTCGATCGAAAACTTCAGGTCCCGTTAAGGTTACTTGTTTGTAACTGGTACGAGAACCGGTCATCGACTTAGGTGCGGCTTAAACAGGTCCTTTGTATTTTTTCTTAAATTCGATTTTTTACATAATTAATTTTTGAGGTTTTTTTAAGGAATTCAAAAATCTATACTATATTATAAAACATTTGACAAAAACTCTTAAAAACAATATTTTATGCATGAAGTACTACTGTATATGGTGCATATTACTTAAAATTCAATATTACAAGTAAATTGTGCATAAGTACAACTTATTAAATCTTATTTTTTTTAATACGTGTAACTAACTGCAGATAAACATAATCAAATACATAATAAACATCTCATTTTAAATATAAAAAACTAAAATATAAGTAAGATAATCATCGACTTTTAACATAGTACCTAATTATTATTCTTATAAAAATTATATTATTAAATAAAAATAAATTACTTTATTATTAAATCTAAATTAAATTAGAATAAAAAAATTAAATTAAAGAAATTACATAGAAAATGAGAAAT